GTAATTACGATTATTAATTGGGCCCGCACCTGCTTCGAGACAGCCCCCCAGGACCCCATCACAAAGAGGGGAAAAGGAAACTGAATCGTAAAAACTCACAAGTTTAACGTTCAGTACCAAAACAACACCACATGACTTCCACTACTTATCACAGTTAGGTCACAACGGTGTGCTAAGGTACTTAGTAGCTAGAACGTAACGAAATCCATTAGGAAATCGGGAAGGACTCACTACACTGACGTGATTGCTCCATGGAGTAGAGGTCAGCAAGCAAGATTGTCGAACACTTCTACATCCGTGCGTAGGGAGCAACGACAAGGTAGGCCCATAACTACCAAGGTCACTACGTGTTATGGTTAGTTCGAACCCATTGACTTACTAAGCACAATTGCTCCCAGGGACGGGACTCCCGAGCAATGTGGTGTTCAGTCACTACCTTCACAAAAGTGAAAGGACGCAGCTTAGTGAGTGTAATCAGTCGCATTACCACGATTTCCAAGGTACCCCCGTAATAAAAGTCTAATGACTAGTATCGGGCCAGCCCCTGCTTCGAAACAACCCCCACAGACACCGTCCTGAGGATGGTGAAAGGGTAATTGAATCGGAAAACTCACAATTTTAACGTTCAGTACCACAACATCATCTTATGACTTCCACTACTTACCACAGTAAGATCACATAGATGTGTATAGGTACTTAGGAGCATGAACGCTATGAAGTGTAACACTTCGGGAATGACTCACTTCACTAATGTAATTACTCCACAGAGCAGACGACAGTAAGTGAGGTGGCGACTCTCCAAGGATGCAAATTAAATTGAGAGGAGAAATAAAATTCCCAAAAGAATCGAAGACACAAATCAGAAATAAAATTCAGAATTTTATTCAGATTGTACACAAAGCAGAAATGATCGCAACTGGTGATCATCTGCGCTGAAGCTGACGGTTGTCCTGAGTGGCGAACAGGTCTACCTCTGGTCGTGATAACAGGTAGATCTTCGATTGGAATATCAGAGGCAGTTGTTTCCACTCCGTGAGTTATGGACGTTTGAGACGTGACAGGGCATCGGCAATGACATTCCTCATCCTGGGAATGTGTCGGGCTCTGGCCACTGTGTTGAGAGAACCGATCAGATGATAAATCGAAACATCAACTGAAGCAGAGCTGATGATCCTGTCGACCCCTGATGGTTTATGTACAAAATTACCATCGAAATGTCTGATTGAATCAGTATATGCCCAATGCCGAACGGCGAGAATGACAGTGCTGATTCGTTGATATGAAGGGCCCTTTCTCCAGATGGAGAAAGTGAGCTCCCCAGCTTGACAGATGCGTGGACGAACAGGTGTGGAGTCGGTATGAAGGGCACCATAGAGACTCCAACGCAAACATTACACTTGTTGAGCCACCAATGAAAGACTGAATGTACTTGTGCGGGAAGACGAATCAACTCGCTGGGGTTGTCGTCCCGGATGTATGGGCACAGAAACATCTGAAGAGGGCGAAGCTGCAGCTGGCCCCTGTAAGTCAGCGCTTGTGCCGACATCAACCACCCTAATAACTTCTGCCACTGGCGAAAAGTTGTGGGTTGGACCAGCACTAGTGGTGCGTTGCACTGAATCTTGTCCCCGCCTCTCCTGTGGCACAAACATCATGACCTGTTGTGTTAAATATTGTTCCAATAAAATGAAATCACCAGGTCGGTGTTACCTCCAATTTCTCCAAATTCATCAGCCATCCTAATTGCGGGAGCAACTTGATGATGAACTGCCTGTGGAGAGGAAGGACGACTGGATCCTGCTGGGCTTGAACACAGTCGTTGATATGGTTCTCCAATGTCACGCCTCGACAATGCAGGTAGCTTGTTATCGGATTGGGTATCTGAGTAAAAAGCCACGGGGCTGTACATATGCCAAACAGCAGGACCCTCCATTGGTATCAATGACGCCCCTTGAAAGTAAATCGAAGATACTTCCGATAGTCTGGATGTATCGGGATGTGAAGGTAGGTCCCTGGGTGTTTCTGTCTGTCACCCTTGATAAGCAGTCTCTCTCTGACACACCCCTTTCGACTGGCTGTCGAAATCCCGACACAATCACTCTTACCGGGAATGGCACCGTTCATTGTTACTAGCATTTAAAGGCTGGACTTGATATCCGATTCTTGGGACCAAGACAAGTCTGCAAGGGCACTTCAAAGTCACTCTAATCATCAAAATTCCGGTCAACAAACGGTAGTCCGCCATTTGCAAACGTTACACACAAGTGACAAAAAACCGGACAACACGGTCTATGACACATTTGGCATAGGCTCTGATAGGCTGGTAAGATGCGCAGTGTTGGAAAAAACACGAGTGGTGAATCGCCCAATTCATGAATAAGCTCAATTGCTGGGAAGGTCCGAGGAATGGATTATTGACGAATGCTGATAGTTCGATGAATGCTGATAATTCAGTGATCTTGAAGGGCCAGGTGAACTGGTTCGGCAATAGGAAGCGGTTCGGCCTGGCGAAGCGGTACGAGTTGGGCTGGTAAATCGGTTCAAGGTAGTGTGATATGATCTGAATCAGTCTGTGATCTGGATCAGCGTTGTGAGCTGGATCGTGACTGTGATCTGGATCGGTTCGGTAATCCGAAACGTTTAAATGATCTCAGTCGATGGAGAGATCTAGAACGATCAGATGAACCGGTGAGGCGACGTGAAATGTTCCGGCTGAGGTGAATTGGTTCAATGAGGTGAATCGTTTCGGTGAAGAGAGCCGTTACGTTGCGGCTAGCCGTTTCAGTCCTGTGAATCAAATCGATGATGTGAACCGTTTCGGCGATAAGACACAGTCTTAATATTATCGCGAATTGAGTCGATGTCGTAATCCACATACGCCGTGGCGAAACGGTTCGGTCTGATGAATCCATTTGGTATGGCGAACCGATTCGGTGTGCTGAATCGGTTCAGCGATTTGACGATGTAGATCGGCTGTGTGAGTCAGCTGGCAACACAGAGCGGTTTGATGAGGTGGAACGACGAGTAGACATCTGATGATGCGCCAATAAAATCATCACCATCCGACATGGGAATCTCCAGACGACGAGCAGTTAATACTGGGGACTAGGGACCTGCCCTATAAGGAGAGCAGCCTGGGAAACAACCCACACATGACGAAAGTGGAACTGAGGGAAGTATATGGACATTACGAGGGCCTATCAGGAAAAGTTCTCATTCAGCAAGAAGAAGAATGATCACTCTGAGGTAGTCGCACGCAAGGGACCTGTCCTAGAGAAAACACGTGCAAATCGGAAAAGTGAGATAGGATAAGTTTTATAAAGGATAAGTTTTAAAAAAAATAATTCTAAAACATCTGAGTTTTTTAAAGGGCAAGTTTACACGAAAATTAACCATTTTGTCTTGCACTTTTTCATCATAAAAAGTGTTTGTCAAGTTGTTTTATAGCCAAAACAGTACAGATATCAGAAGTAACTAATTTATTTTTTGCATTATATCGATTCAAATTTTCCACATTAACCGAGAGTTCTATGTCCACAATAAACACACCATGGCTTATGCCCCTTGGAAATGACGTCATCGGTGCCAGACCGATAAACGAATGACGTTGTTAGACCCATTTCACGTTGTGCAGGTATAGGTGTGGTTCTAGTGTCTCGATCCGCACGCTACTGTTTTAATCCAGCTGTTGCCTGGCCGTCAGCTGGCTATGTGGTCAGTTCCACACTTTGATGACGTTGCAGTTTGAAGAAACGTATACATTGTACAAACAGTGTTACCATGTAACCAAATTGTAAAACATTTAACCTGAGTCGGTCCTTCAACAGTATCGTTTTTCACAAAAACTAAAATGTTTATGCACTACATCTAGCTTGCCATCGGTGAATGAGTCGGCATTCTACGTTTGTTACTTAATTCCTACATAAATCGTAAATATATGTGCCACCTCTTCCCACCTATCGATACCATATCCAAATCCATCACGAAAAAAAGTGCAATTGGCAGTTTTTAATTCTGTTTGAAATTTGGTTTTCTATGACATCATTCGCTCTCTGTAAGGCACGTATACTGAAAATTACATGCATCGTAAATCTGGCAAGTTTTGTCACATTACGAAATACACACAGTAAATGTCAAAGTGAATTTTCAGTCATATTGCAGAGTGTTTATAAAATCACGTCACACATACTATTACACGAATCCCTGAATTCCTCATACAGTTCAAAATAAAATGACAAATGGTCTTTGTCACCAATACCAAATGTTTCAGTGAAATCTAACAAAACATATCAGATGCCACGCTGGGAAAGGACCACTTGTTTGAAATGTAAACAAAGTCGAATTCAGATTTCACTCATTGTATCTGTTCGCCTACTTTTGTTGCATACACTTGCTCAGTAGTTATAGGCCATGCATGGGAAAAGTATTGTAGCAAGCGATAGTTAAATAAAATAGGTGTATTCCAATGATGTCCGAGATTCATCACAACATATTATAGTTTCTGAAAGCTTGACGCCATGACTGATGAAAAAAATCACGCACACCGACGATGGAAGTTCTCCTCATTTCTGACTATTTCCCTTGGCCACAATGAAAACAAAAAGAAAATAGAACCAGCAGATTGTCAGAATGTTTCGGACTACTTACATGTCACATTTATGTATATACGTTGCTTGAAACAACGAAATTGCCCGTAGAAATATCCGGTGTACTCGTGTCAGTGAACACGCCATTTTGAGAATGTCGCTTCCGATAGTGATGTCATACGTACGTCAACATTGTTACACATATTTGGTATTTTCATTGACGTGAGGTTATGAATGAAAATATACCCGATCAATCTGTCCGGCTGCTTACATTTTTTAGTTCTTATGCATCTTTCGTATTTTCACAAACTTTTCTCACATGATTAATTTCTCACAGTATTATTATCTTTTGATTTGGGACAAGACAGGAGACCAGTCTAAAATCAAGTGGCACCAATTGCGTCATAATCAAAGGGCGGTAACTCTGGCCTGTTTAGCTCGGCAAACAAGGACCGCATAACATTTCAGCACTTATTTTGAGGGTTATACTTTCATTGTAAGAAAAATGAGTGTATAATTTCAAACATTGATATAAAATGATTAAAATATTTCATTTTGTTTCACATAAGAATAAATGTGATTTTATCGTGTACACTTCCCCTTTAAAGACAGCAGATGTTGTATGTGAAAACTGGAGTAACTCAGCCAAATCGGAGTGGTTGGCATCTCTGTATCTATGTAAACCACAAAGCATCCTCTGAAACTGCAACTTCTTCCTGTTTACTGGGAGTGAGATCCAAGTTGCAATATTTAAACCATTACATAATGCCCTCTCAATGATCACCATGAATACTATACTCACAAGCAGACCCATCCATCACTCCTCTATCACAGATCACCATGAACACTCTACTCACAAGCAGACCCATCCATCACGCCTCTATCACAGATCACCATGAACACTCCACTCACAAGCAGACCCATCCATCACGCCTCTATCACAGATCACCATGAACACTCCACTCACAAGCAGACCCATCCATCACGCCTCTATCACAGATCATCATGAACACTGTACTCACAAGCAGACCCATCCATCACGCCTCTATCACAGATCATCATGAACACTGTACTCACAAGCAGACCCATCCATCACGCCTCTATCACAGATCATCATGAATACTGTACTCACAAGCAGACCCATCCATCACGCCTCTATCACAGATCATCATGAACACTCTACTCACAAGCAGACCCATCCATCACGCCTCTATCACAGATCACCATGAACACTCTACTCACAAGCAGACCCATCCATCACGCCTCTATCACAGATCATCAGGAATACTGTACTCACAAGCAGACCCACCCATCCATCATCAGTGAATCTATCACAGATCATCAGGAATACTGTACTCACAAGCAGACCCATCCATCACGCCTCTATCACAGATCATCAGGAATACTGTACTCACAAGCAGACCCATCCATCACGCCTCTATCACAGATCATCAGGAATACTGTACTCACAAGCAGACCCATCCATCACGCCTCTATCACAGATCATCAGGAATACTGTACTCACAAGCAGACCCATCCATCACCTCTATCACAGATCATCATGAATACTGTACTCACAAGCAGACCCATCCATCACGCCTCTATCACAGATCATCAGGAACACTGTACTCACAAGCAGACCCATCCATCACTTATCACAGATCATCAGGAACACTGTACTCACAAGCAGACCCATCCATCACTTCTATCACAGATCATCAGGAACACTGTACTTCACAAGCAGACCCATCCATCACGCTTCTATCACAGATCATCAGGAACACTGTACTCACAAGCAGACCCATCCATCACGCCTCCATCTATCACAGATCATCATGAATACTGTACATCAGGAAGCAGACTCACAAGCAGACCCATCCATCACGCTTATCACAGATCATCAGGAACACTGTACTCACAAGCAGACCCATCCATCACGCTTATCACAGATCATCAGGAACACTGTACTCACAAGCAGACCCATCCATCACGCCTCTATCACAGATCATCATGAACACTGTACTCACAAGCAGACCCATCCATCACGCCTCTATCACAGATCATCAGGAACACTGTACTCACAAGCAGACCCATCCATCACGCCTCTATCACAGATCATCAGGAATACTGTACTCACAAGCAGACCCATCCATCACGCCTCTATCACAGATCATCAGGAACACTGTACTCACAAGCAGACCCATCCATCACGCCTCTATCACAGATCATCATGAACACTGTACTCACAAGCAGACCCATCCATCACGCCTCTATCACAGATCATCAGGAATACTGTACTCACAAGCAGACCCATCCATCACGCCTCTATCACAGATCATCAGGAATACTGTACTCACAAGCAGACCCATCCATCACGCCTCTATCACAGATCATCAGGAACACTGTACTCACAAGCAGACCCATCCATCACTCCTCTATCACAGATCATCATGAACACTGTACTCACAAGCAGACCCATCCATCACGCCTCTATCACAGATCATCAGGAATACTGTACTCACAAGCAGACCCATCCATCACGCCTCTATCACAGATCATCAGGAACACTGTACTCACAAGCAGACCCATCCATCAATTTCACATCACAGATCATCAGGAATACTGTACTCACAAGCAGACCCATCCATCACGCCTCTATCACAGATCATCAGGAACATTGAACACTGTACTCACAAGCAGATCATCCATCCATCAGACCCATCCATCTATCACAGATCATCAGGAATACTGTACTCACAAGCAGACCCATCCATCACGCCTCTATCACAGATCATCAGGAACATTGTACTCACAAGCAGACCCATCCATCACGCCTCTATCACAGATCATCATGAACACTGTACTCACAAGCAGACCCATCCATCCATCATGCCTCTATCACAGATCATCATGAATACTCTACTCACAAGCAGACCCATCCATCACGCCTCTATCACAGATCATCAGGAATACTGTACTCACAAGCAGACCCATCCATCACGCCTCTATCACAGATCATCAGGAACACTGTACTCACAAGCAGACCCATCCATCACTTTCTATCACAAGCAGATCATCATGAAACACTGTACTCACAAGCAGACCCATCCATCATGCCTCTATCACAGATCATCATGAATACTCTACTCACAAGCAGACCCATCCATCACGCCTCTATCACAGATCATCAGGAACACTGTACTCACAAGCAGACCCATCCATCACGCCTCTATCACAGATCATCATGAACACTGTACTCACAAGCAGACCCATCCATCATGCCTCTATCACAGATCATCATGAACACTGTACTCACAAGCAGACCCATCCATCATGCCTCTATCACAGATCATCATGAATACTGTACTCACAAGCAGACCCATCATCAATGCCTCTATCACAGATCATCAGGAACACTGGTACTCACAAGCAGACCCATCCATCACGACTTCTATCACAGATCACCATGAACACTGTACTCACAAGCAGACCCATCCATCACAAGCCTCTATCACAGATCATCATGAATACTCTACTCACAAGCAGACCCATCCATCACGCCTCTATCACAGATCATCAGGAATACTGGTACTCACAAGCAGACCCATCCATCACGCCTCTATCACAGATCATCAGGAACACTGTACTCACAAGCAGACCCATCCATCAGACTTCTATCACAGATCATCAGGAACACTGTACTCACAAGCAGACCATCCATCATGCCTCTATCACAGATCATCAGAGAATACTACTCACAAGCAGACCCATCCATCACGCCTCTATCACAGATCATCAGGAACACTGTACTCACAAGCAGACCCATCCATCACGCCTCTATCACAGATCATCAGGAACACTGTACTCACAAGCAGACCCATCCATCACGTCTATCACAGATCATCATGAACACTGTACTCACAAGCAGACCCATCCATCACGCCTCTATCACAGATCATCATGAATACTCTACTCACAAGCAGACCCATCCATCACGCCTCTATCACAGATCATCAGGAATACTGTACTCACAAGCAGACCCATCCATCACGCCTCTATCACAGATCATCAGGAATACTCTACTCACAAGCAGACCCATCCATCACGCCTCTATCACAGATCATCATGAATACTCTACTCACAAGCAGACCCATCCATCACGCCTCTATCACAGATCATCAGGACGTTCCTCTTGGCCAACATGGACTTTGCCAGCTGGATATAGGTGTTCTCGATCTGCATCATGGTACGGATGATGTTCTCCTGCAGCTTGAAAACTGAAGCACAACAAAGAGGATGGTAAAAACAGACCAGTAAATACATGTGTGTGTGTGTGTGTGTGTGTGTGCCCAGTGTGTGTTTCCAAAATCAACATCATGAGTGAGTGAGTGAGTTTAGTTTCACCCGCTCCAAAACCAACATCATGAGTGAGTGAGTGAGTTTAGTTTCACGCCGCACTCAGCAATGTTCCAGCTATATGGCAGCTGGCTATAAGTGATCGAATCTGGACCAGACAATCCAAAACCAACATCAAGAGTGAGTGAGTGAGTTTAGTTTCAGGCCTCACTCAGCAATATTCCAGTTATATGGCAGCAGTCTGTAAATAATCGAGTCTGGACCAGACAATCCAGTGATGAGCATCATGAGCATCGATCTACCCAAATGTGATATGATGATATTTGTAAACCAAATCAGCGACCACACAAACCTATTAGTTGCCTCTAACGACAAGCCCCCGTGAAGATCCAGGTTAGAATGAACCTCTAGTAACCTATGCTTGTCACTCACTCTAACGATAGACATGGGTTGCTGAAGATCAATTCTAACCTGGATCTTCACAGGTTTACTGACAAGTGAAGCAGGTGGAAAGTCTGACGTTGATCACTTCATCATGTACAATGGACAGCTCATTCCTCTTTTTAAATTGTTTCAAAAACTACTTTTTCTTCCAATTATAGTTTCATTGCTGTCACTTACTTTCTTCGTTCTGGAGATCTGGAAATGTCACGCCACCACTGAAGAAATAAAACATCAAAATAAGAAGTAAAAAATGTCAGGATGGCGACAAAAAATATAAATTAATTTCACTTGACATGACGGATTTGTCTAAAGTACCTTGATGAGGTTTCACTGAATGTTTGTCAGTAAAATATTACTTAAAGTTTAACTCTTGACAAAGTATTTGACAAACTTCTACACTCTCATGTCAGGATGGTTTCATCGTAACATCATATCAGTGAGCTGGTTATGACAATGCCTTGAACACTATTTCAGCGATAGTTTTGTTTGATTGTCGTTTAACGCCACACTCAGCAATTTTCCAGCTATATGTTGGCGGTCTGTAAAGTACCAAGTCTGGACCAGACAACAGGGGTGGAAATAACCCATTGCCCGACGTCCGAGTCCAGTGTTTTTTTTCTGTTGGGCAAGCAAATTTGTATATCACACTGTACCGGTGTTCAGTTGACTTTCCAATGTTAATTATGTTGTTTATTAAAAAAATCAACAAGAAAATGGCCGGTCTAGTGGGAAAATTGTCAGGGCAAGTGATTTTACATGTGTCACTGAGTACACAAGCAATTTTAAAGTTATTTCCACCCCTGGACAATCAAGTAATCAACTGCATGAGCAAGCCTGACTAACCGATCCCGTTAGTCGCCTCTTACGACAAACATGGGTTGCTGAAGATCAATTCTAACCAATCGTCGAAGTCTGCATTCTAGTTATACGACAGCCTGTTAGCTGAATCGGAAGAAAAACCAAAGAGATAGAGGTTTTCGTTGTTTACAACTTTAGAGAAACGAACAATTATGGGTATGGAACTGACAAACCTAAAACCTTAATTCGGCAAACAAGACTGGGCCCACAATCACATGGTGCTGCTCTGCCTAAAAGACACAACTCTTCACAGCAAATTGCTGTGCCTTAAACAACTGGTCCTTTTCGGCCAGTCTTTATAGAATCTTTAGAATCATCCGTAACATGAGTGACAGTGGCTCATGAATACTTTTGAAAAACAGATTATTTCCTCAAAGCTGTTATAAATGTGAACCAAAGCTGTTAGTATTGTCAGAGAAACTTCTTCTTTCTACCTTCACCCTTACAACCATCCAGGCAACAGACAACAGTATTTGGTGTCCTCATATAAAAGACCGCCTCTGTGGTGTAGTGGTTAGAGCGTCCGCCCGGAGAGCGGAAGGTCGCGGGTTCGATCCCCGACCGCGTCATACCAAAAGACGTTAATATATGGTACTTGTTGGTCCCTGCCTGGCGCTCGGCATTAACAGGTACAACAAGGACTGGTCGGTTCGGAGTCAGTATAATGTGTCTGAGTGGGGTATTCATGATTCACTGCGGCATGGTATCTCAGTGGCCTAGCACTATAAAACCAGCTAAGTCTGGGCTAGTACAAGCAGCCTCACATACATACACACGCGCATGCACGTCGTCATATGAGCGAAATATTCTCAAGCACAACGTTAAATCTAATTTCACCTCACATCAACTCATATAAAGGCCTTACCTCAAGAAGATCATTGCCGCCTCGGGACACCGGAAAACCTGAACAGAGAAAATATCATTTGATACTGACTTTGATGCAGGTCACAGGTCACAGGTCACAGGTCAGAAGTCAACACAGGGAGGTCAAGGACAGGACCAGTACTAGCGCAGGTCAGAGGTCAAACAAGGAAGATCAATACTACATGAAGTAACTAGGTTTGCCGTGTGTGATAATTTGTGGAGGACACAGTTCATTACTATAATTAATTTGTCATGGCAGGAGGTGGGGTAGCCTAATGGTTAAAGCGTTCGCTCATCACACTGAAGACCCGGGGTCGATTCCCAACATTTATGTGTGAAACCCATTTCTGGTGTCCCCTGCCGTGATATTGGTGGAATATTTAAAAGCGGGTCAAAACTAAACTCACACACACACTCCAATATTCAGATTTATGAACAGATCAAACTTTCAGGACCTATATTTTTTTCCCACACGTTTTGCTATCTATGAACATGATAGGTGATTAAAATTGCTAATTATTGCTCAAACTTTAGGCATACATCAACAACATTCTAGCAACACCTTGTAGATACAATCCACACAGCGAAAAGCATGAAACAGAATCAGCCATTCTAATTAAATCATGAGGCCTGAAATTCTATTAACATGATTAACATTATAACATTTAGTGGAAGCCGCGGTGGCTGAGCGGTCTAGGCATCTGACTTTGTGTGCTGGCGATTAGGTGCCTGACTCTGAGGGTTCTAATCCCGGATGAGACTCAACCCAAAAGTACTAGAATCTGTACTTTACTAAGAAAGTGTAATCCCAAATATAACATATGTTACACTATAATGCTTACTGTCACAAATTCAAATATCATATCAATACAAGTATCTTCGACCTGATAATAGAAGCACATTACCAAAAGCATGGATGGTAACCTTATCAATATCGAAACATTAAATTCTGTGTCTATGGTGTCATGACAATGTGCTGTACATGTCTAAAATACCCAAGAAGATCTGGGTTAGAATTGGTTTTAGTTTAAACATATTTTATTCACAATGTGTCATCAGGACAATTCTTTCCAACTTATTAAACCCCCTCTCCAAGTACATAACTAATTACATCATAATCAATAATACCAAACAGAGAGAGTTATCCAAAAGGTGTATACAGAGAAGACTACTGGCTCCCTTTAGATTTGCATATATATATTGTGTACATTTTGAATATAATTTCATTTTTAGCTGATTTGTCAGATCTGCAATGCCGCTTTAAAATAACAGATAATGTAATCACAGAATTACTACCCCATACATCTTGAATAGCTTTAAGCATGATCTTTCTATGTTGATTGTGTAAATAACATTCTAAGAAATAGTGATGAACATTTTCGCATGGGTTTCCAATTGCACAGGATGGATCAGTGATTAGAATTGGTCTTCTTCAGCAACCCATGTCTGTCGCTAGAGGCAACTAACAGAATCTGATGCTCATGCTGTTGATCACCAGATTGCCTGGTCCAGATATGACTATTTATAGACCGCAGCCATATAACTGGAATGTTGCTGAGTGTGGCATTAAATAACAAACAAACAAAAATGTCTGAATTTAGTCCATTCAATGAAGGCTTTGTAATTTAATACTTATAACAGAGATGCCAACCCTGAATCTAAGGAAAACGGCGTCATGACTGGCTGAAAGCCAGGCCTGAGCACCAAAGGTGTGAGTTGGGGGTGAGCGCGTGGTCTGCTCTGCCATTTTGTTTCACTTTCATACGGACTATGACATGCATTTGGAAAAACTTTGTGAAACTTCAATAACGCGCAATATACACAATCGACACCAAAGGATCACATGCTAAGCTTCTGAATGCTTTTACCAGTGTTTACACAAATAAATCACCGTGACTTATGAAATTGTATACCGTAAAAATAAATTCAGAATTTTTCTAAAAAAATCCAAGATTTTTAAAGAGAACTTGGAATCAGATTTTGTATTTGAAAATTGGAGTAACTCCGCCAAAATCAGAGTGGTTGGCATCTCTGCTTAAATAATAGATCTAACTGAATCTTTCAACTGACTGTTACACCCATGAAAGAACCATGACAATATAACTAGTAATGTATATATGAACTGTGTCCTCCCCAAAATATTCTGAATAGTATCAACAGGATCCCATGTCATTGTGGCATGATGACACACAGGGGACAACTTTAGGTTACTTCATCAGAACATCACAACCCATTTTTTCCACTATACCGCCATTTTCTTGTTGAAAAATAAACAACAATCATTGAGTCTCATTAGCTGATTGGCCATGTTGAGATGGTTACCATGGTTACAGGAACTCGTCTAGACCCACTCTGAGGCACGTGGCCCAAAGTCTGCACCAAATGTCAGAGAAAATTGCACATTGGAACCAAAATATTCCCAAATCATAATATATGAATACAGTTGCATAAGACTGACTGACTGACTGAGTTTAGTTTACAGCAATATTCCAGCAATATCACGGAGGGGTAAACCAGAAATGGGAGTTGCATAAGAGATGGCTAGGTCAGGTTGACTTCTATTTCTGTGATAAAGTGCCGATAAAGTGGAATTGATGACCAATACTATTGTAGAGAAGAGGAGGGTTTAATGCTTGGTTTTACATCATTGAATGTAATGATTTTACAATGTTAAAAGACCTCTAAATTTAACAAAATATGCACTTTAATAAAATCCCAGTTTTAAACAAAACAACAATATTTTCTATTTAAAACATTATATTTGCGATTACAATTTCTCAGTAAAGTACAGATTCAAGTACTTTTTTTGTGCTGAGTCCTACCTGAGATTCGAACCTGCACCCCTCAGAATCAGGCACCTAATCCCAGCTCAGCCAATCCGGCTCAGCCACAGCGGCTTCCACAAAAATGGAAGTCGAACACTTTTTTCCCAATTTTACATGCCAAAGGTCTAATTTGGAATCCTACATAAATCACATATACAGTTTCTCGAGATCAGTTTACAGTTTCTGAGATCAGTTTGTTGCTTAACGCCACACTTAGCAATATTCCAGCTATATCATATGGTGACGGTCTGTAAATAATCGAGTCTGGACCAGACAATCTAGTGATCAACAGCATGAGCATCGATCTAAGCAAATGGGAACTGATGACAAGTGTCAAACAAGTCAGCAAGCCTGACCACCCAATCCCTTTAGTCACCTCTTACGACAAGCATGCATTCTGAAGATCAATTCTATTTCTAACCCGGATCTTTACATGTCAGATCAGGTAAGGGGATCCAGGGATTCATTTCATTGTTTTCCATAACACTAGAACAATACACATGAAATATTGCCGATTGATCAAAACTGATAAAATGAATGCTACAGCAGAATCCTTACTTAAACCTTTTAAGAACAAAGTTTCATAGAACACTTTGTTTATTGTGTGAAATGGTATACCACAGTATTAGTAGAACCGCTGTATTTTGCCTTCTGTTCGGTATACCAAAATGCAATAAAAATTCGGTATTTTCGGTTTTCGTACCGTCATTTATTAACCTTTAAAACCTTTTCTAAGATGTCTAGAAATCAAATCATTTTGTCAAAATCTATGCATTTCTTTGCCAGAGGGCCGCTATTTTCTTGAAAGTATGTTCCCATATATATACCGAACTGAAACGGATCAAACCAAAGGCCTTGTAACTGCAATACGTACTGTACCATGGTAAGAGCGTACCGTTTCACCCCTAGTGATACTGTTTTATCACTTTGAATTAAGCTTTATCTGCCATTATCAATTATGCCTTATTTCAAACAGTAACCCATGTTTCTATCATGTATAACTTGTAACATGTTACCATGACAACCTAATCAGTTAATGTTACAAAAAGCGTTAAGTTCCAGCAAAACAACAGCTGGTGCACATATAACCTGCACATACAGTGAATGTCATACACTACACAAAAACAAATACATATAACAGAATCAGCCATCCTGACTATTCCACATTGTGCCAAAATCTACAATTTCATATATTTATCATGGCTGGCTGGCTTCATAACAATGGAAACCTTACATGATAGTTAATTTCGACGACAGAAGCATATTATTCCTAAACTTGGATGATAAACGTAACAAGGCTCAAAACAATTCAAATGTTTAGATATGTTTGCTTTCTTATACCATACCTAGTAATATTCTTGACAACCCATTTATCAAAGTCACTTCTTCAAAGATCGAGCAAATGCTTCAGGCAGAGCAGAGAATTGAATGACACCTTGTATTACGATATGTACCACGATATCAACTGATGACACCACTGGCATCACGTTGCCATGGTGACACAACAAATAGTAGGTAATGGCACCCTGTATTACGATATGGTGACACAACAAATAGTAGGTAATGGCACCCTGTATTACGATATGTCCCACGATATCAACTGATGACACCACTGGCATCACGTTGCCATGGTGACACAACAAATGGTAGGTAATGGCACCCTGTATTACGATATGTACCACGATATCAACTGATGACACCACTGGCATCACGTTGCCATGGTGACACAACAAATAGTAGATAATGGCACCCTGTATTACGATATGTACTACGATATCAGCTGATGACACCACTGGCATCACGTTGCCATGGTGACACAACAAATGGTAGTTAATGGCACCCTGTATTACGATAAGTACCACGATATCAACTGATGACACCACTGGCATCACGTTGCCATGGTGACACAACAAATGGTAGGTAATGGCACCCTGTATTACGATATGTCCCACGATATCAACTGATGACACCACTGGCATCATGTTCCCATGGTGACACAACAAATAGTAGGTAATGATGAAATAACTCAAATATAACTTTAAAAACTCTCGTTTAAAGCATTTATTATTGTTTTATCAATACAAAAAATGTTTTTAAAATACCCCAAAACAAAAATAAAAGAAGTCTTAAATGAAAGGATGGTTATTAAAGTTAATAGGCACATCATCAACCAACAAGATGTCCTATGCTATGGGTGGTAATTCTGACAGTTCCTGTTTCTATTTAACAGTGTCCTCAGTGAGTCATGCTGATGTGTAACAAAAACTTGAAGCTAGACGTTTACAACCTGTCTGACCAGATCCATGAAAACACGGTGCTAACAAGCCTACAATATCTGAGATTTAAGCCAACAATCACAGGTTTCTGGTATGCCTAAAGGCTGCAAGTCCGTACCACAAAAGGTGGCATCTAAGACGAACAGGTGAGTGTGTATAAATCCATTATTTTGGGCATATAACCAATAACACTTCCAATCGCAGATATAGGGCTCTTGTAAAAAAACAAACATCATGACACAACAAATACCTTCCATCCTAAGTTTTCAAAGAATGTACTGAGCCGCGCCTGGCCTGTAGTCTTTCCTCCACAAGGACCTGTAACAGAGTGACAGGAGAGATCAACTTTAATAATAACAAGCATTGTCACTAAGGTGACACAATCCCCCCGCCGCAAATTATCAAATCAAACTTATAAAGTAATGAAAGTTTAAGTTGAAGTTAAATGTCAACAAAAACATTATCTTGCTCTTTAGTTGTTCAAAACACACTCATATTATCAAGACTGACTGTCAGACCTTGACATGAATGTCATAGTGTATGAAATATGCAAAACTAGTACTAAAGAAATTGCTTATTGAAAACATTCAAGGGAGGTCTTGAAAGTCTATGAAGAAAATCCAGTGAACCGTTCTTAAAATATCTTGCTGACAATTCAGGTTAACGTTCTAAAATCTTCCTAGTGTCGTTGTGACCCTACAAATTATGTGAAGGTCACCAAAATTGACTGGGCCCTGGGCCTTCCTTAGATGAAGCTTGGTGTCAAATATGAAGAAAATCCACTGAATATTTTTTGCGATATCTTGCTGACAAGCATAACATGTAGTTTAACATGCTGAAATCTTCAAAGTGTCTCTGTGACCTTGAAAATTAAGTGAAGGTCACCAAAATTGACTGGGCCCTGCGCCTTCCCTGGATGAAGCTTGGTGTCAAATATGAAGAAACTCCAGAGAATGGTTCTTGAGGTAACTCGCTGACAAGCATAACATGTAGTTTAAACTTTAATATGGTGAAGGGGGTGGTGGGGTGGCCTAGTGGTCAAAGCGTTGGCTCGTCATGCCGAAGGCCCGGGTTCGATTCCCCACATGGGCACAATGTGTTAAGCCCATTTCTGGTGTCCCCCGCCGTGATATTGCTGGAATATTGCTAAAAGCGGAGTAAAACTAAGTCAGTATATTACTCAGTCAGTAATATGGTGAAATCTTCAAAGTGTCTCTGTGACCTTGAAAATTAAGTGAAGGTCACCAAAATTGACTGGGTCCTGCGCCTTCCCTGAATAAAGCTTGGGGCTGAATATGAGAAAATCCAGTGATCGGTTCTTGAGATAGCTTAACATGCAGGTTAACATGCTGAAATCTTCAAAGTGTTGCCATGACCTTGAAAATTATGTTAAGGTCACCAAAATCGACTGGGCCCTGCGCCTTCCTGAGATAAAGCTTGGTATTGAATATGAAGAAACTCCAGCAAACGGTTCTTAAGATAGCTTAACATGCAGGTAAAACGTGAAAGTCCCCTTGTGACCTTGAAATGAAGGTCAAGGTCACCAAACCTGACTTGGACCTTTCTTTTAGTGTGATGAACCTAGGTACCACATATGAAAAGAATCTAGTGAACGGTTCTTAAGATATCCCAATTCGTACGTACAGAGCCTAATACTATATCCCCCGCTTCGCTCTAAACTCGCCGCGGGGGATAATTATAATTCATTTATATTCATCTGACTAGTTGCTCACTGGACGCTGTAATCAGAATCTGATTATTATTACCCTGGATAACCCAAGCTGCCCAGGCGCTAGAAGGTTATAGTCACATGACTTTATCCAACCGGGTACCCATTTTCTGTTGGGTGAACAGAGGCAATTTTGAACAAACTCACTTGCATAAGGTGAGACCACATGTATCACATGTGCTTCATTGAGGGGCAGGACTTCAGACCTAGAAACTCTCAGGAGTCAAGCACTTTACACTGCTAACAGCTGTACAGAACCGTAACTTAAATTCCTGGATAACCTTTATTTGTGGATTGCGGTAATTATAATCTTGTAAATTAAGTCTCGCATGACGTCACGAAACGGTACTTTTGATGTACACACAATATCACGCCTTGCTGACCAAAATGTTCCGAATCTCTGCATTATACTTAAATACACTAAATCTAATTGTCCAGCACTGACATACATAGCCCAACATCACTTTTGCCACTAATACCAAATTTTATTTTTACTAAATGTCAAGTAAAAAGATACCATTAGCACCAACCTTCTCACATCTTGTTGTCCGTTTTCCTAGGTGTCAAAACTTACTGCAATGGGCTGTCATACACAGTGATATATTGTAACCGACAACATAATAGAGTTGGGAATTGGTTGAAATCTAATAATTGATGATTGATCCATTACAACTGATCAATCATCGAAAATAATTGGTTAGCGTCATTTATTAAATGTCCCTGTTATTTTTTGTTAATGCACACACAAAAATAAAAAGAAACATGTAGTACTTTGTTTGTCTTTTTCCAAATTGCTTAAAGTCCATTTGCAATTTTTTTCATATTTAAATGATGATTAGTATGTTAGGAACACATATTTCCTGGATTCTTTAAGATAAATTCAATCATGACTTGGAACGAGCTTGTAGTGCTTATGAAATGTAAATTTAATGACACAGACAAAACCAGCCTTGTAAAAAATATTGTTAATGCAAACAAGTGTTCCAAGATTGGTCGTGTTCGATTACGAGAAAACATGTTCGATTGCTTGGTCGCTTAGCCACTGCGACCAATCTTCGATTATTTCAATTAGTCAGACCACCACTACTACATAATCCACAAAACAAGGTTACGTCACATTTTGTGTGCACACGAATGGGTGATGATTGCAAATGGCTTTGGTAAGAAAACATTTCATTCACGAGTGGAATATTAGGCATTTTCAATTTGCTGAATCAATGAATAAAATAATCAGTGAGCATACAAAATAAAATTGTGCATTTAAAATATGATTTCCGTCACACTTCAATTATATCCACGGATCAAAGTTATGTGAGTGTCTATTTATGTGTATGCCAAAAACTACATACATGCATTTGTTGTTATTATCATTATTGTTGTTACCAATGTTGTTGTTATCATTATTATGTTTTACAGATTAAAGATAATATGCAGCAGAGAGGGTTCGGGTGATCCTGGCACAGTCAGGCTGGTAAGGCTCATCATCAGCTCAGGGCCCTTGCCCTCTCTACACGCAGCCCAGACAGCGAATGGGACTTCTCCCAGGAAACGCTGCCTAGTCGAACCCACCAAGAACTTTCCGGAGAATATGAAGGCTCCCCAACACTGCAGCCTTCTGCATTACCCAGAGTGTCAGAAGGGCTGTGCTCCCGGTGGAGAACCCGGGCGCTCTCCTGATCTGCACCAAGAGATCAGGAGGTACCAAACCAAGGGCACCGAGAACAATGGGGAGCCTGACGACAGTGTACTTGGGATGCAAGCGAGACATTTCAAAGGCGAGGTCCGCATATTTATCATGCTTTTCCTTAATCTTGCCAATCACATTGGTGTCAAAAGGGACAGAAAATTCAATGATATAAATAAATCCATTGGCTTTATCAAAAGGACAAGATCAGGTTTGTTAGCTGGAATTCTTCTGAGGCTGTATATGGGCCTATTCCACAGAAGTTTGAAAGCATCATTTTCCATGACGCCTGGACATGTTCAGGGTCGTACCATGGATGGACCTCGAGTCAAAGCCACAGGCATGTCGGAGACGGTAGTAAAAGCAACGAGCCATGCCATCATGTCGCTTAAGATATGCTGTTTGTGCCAAGGAAGGGCATCCACTGACAAGGTGTTGGACAGTCTCTGTAAATTCATTGCAAAGTCGACATTTCATGTTAATATTCTCTTTAAGAATCACATTTAGGCGATTACGAGTGGGAAGTGACTGGTCCTGAGCAGCAAAAGGAAGCCCTCAGTTTCACATTTAAGACCAGCCGACTTCATCCAGGCTGAAGGAGTCGGGATTGCTATTCTGTTCAACACACTGCATGTACACACGATGCAATGGCTTCTCAGAAAGCTTCTCCACAAAGACCGACTCTGGGCAGACTTGGTAAAGGACTTCACCTGGTTTACTCCCATCGCTGTACCGTCCAGCAGTACATTGCCATCAGCAAAGTCAACCTCAAATTTCAGATTCTGTCCAACAACCTTGGCACACTTAAAATAGCTGTGGAATTCCTTGCTTTCATCATGAGTCTTCACATGCATCACCAGAGGATCATCCGATAAATAAATATGTGCAAAAGTACACAATAAAATTCTGTCATGAAGAGCCTCCACATTAATCAAACCCCGACCTCCAGAATTGATTGGCATGTATAAACGGTTAAGAGAGGAACGAGGGTGGTGGGCTCTGTTATCAGACATGATCCTTCTGGTCAGGCGGTCAAGACTCTGGATGTCTTGTTTTGTCCAATCAACTACTCCAAAGGAATAGGAGAGGACTGGCACAGCAAAAGTATTGGTGGCTTTCACCTTGTTACGAGCATTTAGCTCTGAGCTCCAGATTTTCTTTAAACGAGATTTGTACTCGGCCCGAAGTTTGTCTTGAATCTGGGCATTCCGGAGCTTGTCTCGAACTTGCATTCCAAGATAGGTGTAGGCCTGATCTTCCACAAGATGCTCAATAACTCCTCCCCCTTGTAACTTGACCGATCCATCATTAGTTACCTTGCCACGTTTCAAATGAAGAGTATTACATTTGTCGAGTCCAAATGTCATGCCAATATCATTAGAAAAGGACTCGACAAAGAGAACCTGCTCTTTCAAATTGGAATCTCCTTTGGCAAGGAGTTCGATGTCATCCATGTAAAGGAGATGAGTAAGAGGTGTTGGGGATCTGTGCTGAGGAGGTCCGGGATGGTAACCCTCCTCTTTATTGAGCAGAAAGCTCAAAGGATTTAGAGAAAGACAAAAAAGCAAACGACTAAAGGAATCCCCCTGAAATATCCCTCTTCTGATTGGAATAGATTCAGAAGTCTGCACCTGCCCCAGCGAGTACATCTCAAGTTGAGTCGACCAGCAACTCATTAAAGACTTGAGTAAATCAAGTAGTCGCTCAGGGAGGTCAATACAATGAAGAGACTTCAGAATCCATTCGTGAGGGACAGAGTCGATGCTTTTTGTAGTCAATCCAGCACATGGAGAGGTTATGCGTGATAAGTTTTAGCCTCTTCCAAAAATCATTTTCTGTACAAGAAGTTTATCCTTGCACCCCCAACATCCCTTCCTTGCTCCCTTCTGCTCTCTGAAAATTATA